TATATATATATATATATATATATATATATATATATATATATATATATATATATATATATATATATATATATATATATATATATATATATATATATATATATATATATATATATATATATATATATATATATATATATATATATATATATATATATATATATATATTGATTAAATATTATATAATTTAGGTTGTTCATTCCGTTGTGGCGACACCAGATTAATGAAGGGACTAAGCCGAAAATTAAATGAATCAATGAATTATATTATTTATAAATAGCACAACAACAACACTATTTCTAGACATATTTCCATTTATTTAATGACATAGTTTGCATTTCAATTTTCAGAAAATATACCTGTGCATATATTTGTTGAGTTCTATTTTCTATTTACTGATTTTTAAATCCTTTATCTGTGTTGTCGTGTCACTGTTATTTGTTTACACTGTGGGTGCTTCTGTCAGAAAAACGAATTCCTTGTATGTGTAAAAATACCTGCCGATAAAGCTCAGTTACTGAAAATATGTATAATATAATATTATATTATATTATATTATATTATATTATATTATATTATATTATATTATATTATATTATATTATATTATATTATATTATATACACTTATTGGCCACTTTATTAGGTACACCTTACTAGTACCGGGTTGGACCCCCTTTTGCCCTCAGAACTGACTTTGTGGCTTAGATCCAAAAAGCTACTGGAAATAGTCCTCAGAGATTTTGGCCCACATTCACATGATAGCATCACAGGTTTTTTGGCTGCACATACATTATGTGAATCTACTGTTCCACCTCATTCCAAAGGTGCTATGGGATTGAGCTCTGGTGACTGTGGAGGCCATTTGACTACAGTTCACGATGCTCAATTAACACTAATAAGCCCAAGCTGTGCCAAGAAAATATCCCCCACACCATTAAACCACCACCAACAGCCTGAACCATTGATACAAGGCAGGATGGATCCATGCTTTCATGATGTTGACGACAAATTCTGACCCTACCATCCGAATGTCACACCAGATATCAAGACTCATCAGACCAGGCAACGTTTTTCAAATCTGCTGTCCGATTTTGATGAGACTCTGCAAATTGTAGCCTCAGTTTCCTGTTCTTAGCTGACAGGAGTGGCACCCGGTGTGGTCTTCTGCAGCTGTAGCCCATCTTCCTCAAGGTTAAACGTGTTGTGCGTTCAGAGATGCTCTCCTGCTCACCTCGGTTGTAGCGAGTGTTTATTTGAGTTACTCTTGCCTTTCTATCAACTGGAACAAGTCTGGCCATTCTCCTGTGACCTCTGGCATCAACAAGGCATTTGCGCCTACAGAACTGCCGCTCACTGGATATTTTCTTTTCCAGACCATTCTCTGTAAACCCTAGAGATGATTGTGCGTGAAAATCCCAGTAGATCAGCAGTTTCTGAAATACTCAGACCAGCCGGTCTGGCACCAACAAACATGCCACAGTCAAAGTCACTTAAATCACACTTCTTCCCCATTCTGATGCTCAGTTTGAACGGCAGCAGATCATCTTGACCATGTCTACATGTCTACGTGCATTGAGTTGCTGATTAGAAATTTGCGTTAACAAGCAGTTGGTCCTAATTGGTACAAGCAGGTGTACCTAATAAAGTGGCCAGTGGGTGATTATTATAATATTTGGCCAAAAAGTACCATGCATTTCTATTTTTTAAAATCAGAATATATTTTTATCATCATTCAAATACGCATGTACAATATGCGCAGATCAATGTTTTTAAAATGTAATTTAGTCATAATAAATAAATCAATAAATACCCATAACAAAGCTTATGTTCTTGGAGCACAAGAGTCCCAGAGACTGTTCAAAACACGTGCATAAGAAGGAGTGTTTAAAATTGTCTGTCATGTTTTCCAATACGAGAGATCCAGACCTGAAACATAGAAGAGATGCTCCATCACGAGCTGAAAATTCTGAAACATTTTCCACAATCCATGTCATAAACAGTGCTGTATAAAGAGATGTAACCTTGGCAAAAGGTGTATCTGAATTTCTTGTCTCCCTTCGGTTGATACGAGCAGTGCACATTGGGTCGTCTGTTTGCTCCCGCTGTTCCAGTCAACCAGTAGAGTCGAGTTTCTGCTGACAGACACCGACAAACTGACGTTACCTGCTGAGGACACAACACACACATGAACTTTCTGAAATATCGACTAGCTGTCTGGGGTGAGCCCACTCTTAGAACACTTACCGACACAACTCTCACTCTGTGAAGAGCAAGAGAATCCTAGAAGGAGAAAGGCGACAATAAATAATGACAAAGTCGTCATTTCTTCCTTGTGTTTGTTAGCAAGTTCATTCTAGTCATGTGTACCTGCAAATGGGGCATGCAGTGTCAGAGAAATATACCACAGAGACCATCACTCCTGGGTACTTACCAGGCATAAATACAAACAGTAACCACTTGTGAGGATATGTGTAAGTATCTGGAGAGATTTCTAGTGTAATCATTCCATGAAGTGCAGAGCGTTTCTTGTAATAGTGTACGCTAATACTGCAAGATTCACTTGATGTGTCTTAAATGTGCTTTCAAAATTTACAGGCTGTTTATTTAACTAATGCATGTTGATTACTTAGTCATCAGTTTTGTTGCTGCTTATAACTGTTTATTCGAATAACCACTAAATTAACACATCCAAACAAACCGTAAGTAACACTGAATTTTTAACTGTATAGCTATTAGAAATAGCTATTTCATTTATAATGTACAGTTTAGCTTTAAGTTTTAAAGA